ATTATGGCAAGGACCGAACGGTAAATAAAGCTGAGACCAGAGTGGGGCACAGAACGTAAGTTGGATGGCTCTGCGGCCTCTCTCACTTGCCCCCCCCCCCTTGATCCCCTAAGTGCCACGGCTTTCCTCCTCATGGCACACCCAGCTCCACGGCCGCTTCCTCTGGGTGCTCTCCCCGACCCCCAGGCTGGGTCAGCTGCCGGCCCTGGGTTCCCTGTGCCTCACCCGCACTCTGGTCCCGAGAGCACCTCCCCATTAGATCGCCGTCCCCGTCTCCTTCTCCGCCGCAGTAACCCCCGCCCGAAGGCTGCTTATCCCCCAGAGGACGGTTCCCGCAGGAGGACGGCGGTGCGACGGGCCCTTGTTCGTTCCGGACCCCCCGCCCGCGCCCCCGGAGCCGCACGCTTAGGTTCCCCCTAACGGGGTCCGAGGGCGCTGGCCTGGAGGCACCAGCTCCTCCGGGTAAGGGCGCTCCCGGTGCCCCCGCGAGGAGGCCCGCTCACCTCGCCCAGCGCCTGCAGGCTCTTCACGGCGCCCACCACGGCCTGGTGCTCCACGCCCAGCTCGGCCGCCAGCTCCGCGCTGTCCAGGCCGCCATCCGCCGCCTCCAGCCGCCGCAGCAGCGCTTCGGCCACCGGGCCATCCGCCATGCTTCCCCCCCGAGCGCAAAGCGTGTCCCGGCTCCAGGGCCGGAAACACCGGAAGCACCGGAACCGGAACCGGCGTGGAGCGCGCCGCCATCTTGAAGGCGGCTGGTCGTGCTGTGGGGCTCAGGGCGTTGCCATCTTGAGTGTGTCAATTGAACCTCAAAGCGTGGGAAGGACTCAGTCTTTTTTTTTCTTTATTTCTTTCTTTATTTTTTTCCTCAGTCATTCTGTACCTCCGCTCTGGCTGGACTTGTGGCGTCTGCTGACTGGAGGGTCAAACCGGTTGACCTGAAGGACAGTCCCAGCGTTGTTTTAGGTTTCGTCCCTCCCCACCTGCAGCCGGCGGGCTGCGTGACCTTGGACCTCGGAGCCCTCGATCCTTCCGGGACTCTCTGACCCGTAGAACTGTGGGTGGGGGGCTACAGAGCTAATCATTCTGCTGATATCAACTACTTTTATTTCTTTTAATATATATCTATTTTTTATTGATTCCAGAGAGGAAGGGAGAGGGAGAGAGAGATAGAAACATCAATGATGAGAGAGAATCATTGATTGGCTGCCTCCTGCACGCCCCCTACTGGGGATGGAGCCCACAACCCGGGTGTGTGCCCTTGCCGGAATCGAACCCGAGACCCTTCAGTCCACAGGCCGATGCTCTATCCACTGAGCCAAACTAGCTAGGGCTACTTTTAAATTTTCAAAGGGAGGCGGGGTAGGGGCCATCCCCATTTAAAGAGGAGAGAGGAACCCACCTAATAACAGTTATAGTCCAGGTTATAGTTATAGCCGCTACCTGGACACCTACTCGTGTGCCCAGCCCAGTGTTAAGTGCTTCAGGTGTGTTATTTCATTTTTCCCAGAACTTCTTGATGTAGATACTGATATAATCCCCATTTTGCAGATGTGAAAACTGAGGCCCAGAGGGTACCGTGATTTGCGCATTGTTCTCTGAGGAGCTGGTAGGGATGGAATCAGAAACTGTCATCACCCCAGATCCCATCCAACCCCCTACTCCATGCTCTGAGGAGACCAATGTAAGGGCAGTAATGCACGGTCTGAGTCAGTGCTGGCCCGTAGATATGTAATGTGAGGCACAAATGTAATTTAACATTTTCTAGTAGCAACGCTAAAAACAAAATGGGTGAAATTAATTTGAAGAACTAACCAAATCTGATATGTCCATTCGTCACGTAAACACTTTATAACATTTATTTTATTAATTTTTTAATCCTCACGTGAGGATATTTTTCCATTGATTTTTAGAGAGAGTGGAAAAGAGAGGGAAAGACAGTGAGGGGGAAAAAAAAGAAAGTGAGAAATATTGATGTGAGAGAAACATATCGATTGGTTGCCTCCTACAGGAGCCGGACCAGGGCCCAGGTCAGGGAGGAGCCTGCAACTGAGGTCCGTGCCCTTGACTGGAATCAAATCTGGACCCTTCAGTCTGCAGGCTGACCCTACCCACTGAGCCGAACCAGCTAGGGCTGTGGTTGGCAAACCGCGGCTCGCGAGCCACATGTGGCTCTTTGGCCCCTTGAGTGTGGCTCTTCCACAAAATACCACGTGCGGGCGCGCATGTACAGTGCGATTGAAACTTCGTGGCCCATGCGCAGAAGTCGGTATTTTGTGGAAGAGCCGGTATTTTGTGGAAGAGCCACACTCAAGGGGCCAAAGAGCTGTATGTGGCTCACGAGCCACCGTTTGCTGAGCCGCAGTTTTGCCGACCACTGAGCTAGGGCAACACTTTATAACATTTCTTTTTTTTTTTTTTACAATAGCTAAGGCAGTATTAGCCCCAGGGCAATATCTGCTATTTATTTTTACTTTTTATTTTTTTATATATCTTATTGATTTTTTACAGAGAGAAAGGGAGAGAGATAGAGAGTTAGAAACATCGATGAGAGAGAAACATCGGTCAGCTGCCTCCTGCACATCTCCCGCTGGGGATGTGCCCGCAACCCAGGTACATGCCCCTGACCGGAATCGAGCCTGGGACCTTTCAGTCTGCAGGCTGACGCTCTATCCACTGAGCCAAACCGGTTTCGGCACTTTATAACATTTCTAATGAAATGTTTTACATTCTTTTTTCCATACTAAGCCTGGAAAATGTGATGTGTATTTGACATTTCAGCTCAGACCAGCAACATTTCAAATGGTCAACAGTCACGTGGTCAGACAGCACAAGTACATTGAAATCCCAGGTCTGCCGTTTGTGTCACTCAGTCAAATCGCTTAATCTTTCTGTTTCAGTTTCCTCACCTGGGTGGAGATAATATGAGCCCACGTTATTGTGAGAACTGTGAAATAGTGCCCACGCATGTACGCAGTATTTGTTAATACGAAATTGAGTGTGGATTGTGTGTCAGGCACTATTCTAAGCAGTATAAGCAGTATGCCTTTACTCACTTAACCATCACATTTGTTATTTGAACCTAGAAAATGGGGTTACTAATACTCTCACAATCATGACCCTACAGGGAAGTCCTGATTTTTAAAAAATCAGAATACATTCCTCAAAGTCCCTCCTTTCCTTCAAAGCACGTTCCCCATTACAAAAAAAAAAAAAATTTCCTGGAGTCCTTCCTTCTACCACACAGATCACGTAGGTTTTAAGCCTGCTCTGTGCCAGGTGCTGCAGGAGACACTGGGGAATGGTGAAGTGAACAAGACAGCACAGAGTCTACCCTCAGACAGGAAACACCAAACTCACGTGTCCATGGCACTTACTGGGAGGGAGGGAAGCCAGGAGGGTCAGTGGCAGGAGTGATCACTCCAGACTTGGGACTCCTTCTAAGGAGGCCAGGTTGGGCCATACAGCCTGGGGGTGGGGAGGGCAGAATCCCAACTTCTCCAAAACCCCTCATTCCTCCCTTTTCTGAGTTCCTGCCACTAGTGGGAAAGCTCCCCCCATTCCTCAGTTCACTCCCAGGTTCCCAGACCCAGGGCCTTTTTGTTAGAGTTTGGGAAACCCCTCGCCCTGCTTCCTCCTTCCTGAAGACTGGAAGCAGGCAGCTGGGGTTCCACACGGTCAGTCATCTGACTCTGGCTTCAGAAGACTCTAGACCAGCGCTTCTCAACCTGTGGGTCTCGACCCCTTTGGGGGTCGAACGACCCTTTCACAGGGATCGCCTAAGACCATCGGAAAACACATATATATAATTACATATTGTTTTTGTGATTAATCACTATGCTTTAAATATGTTCAATTTGTAACAATGAAATTGGGGGTCACCACAACATGAGGAACTGTATTAAAGGGTCGCGGCATGAGGAAGGTTGAGAACCACTGCTCTAGACTCAGGAGTCCTGCCCCTCTCCCTTAGATCTTATCTTCTTTACCATCTGTCTACTTTCTTCCTCTCCAACGGAACCCCCTGCTCTCTCATCCTTGGCCGTTTAATTGCAAAAGCCAGGCCGTTTGTGGAAGACCACAAAGCAGCGACCCCTTTCATTTACTGGGGGTGGAGAGGTGGGGGTGGAGGTGGGGGAGGCGGGGTAGTAAAGGAGAGGCCGGCTGCAATTCGGGTAACAACCTTACCGGGCCCTAGGAATCAGCCTATAGTCACATCTTCGAGCCTTCTGGGCTTCCTTCCCTGTCCCGGGATATCCTAAAAGCTTTGAAAGCATTTCTTCTGGGCAGCACCTGCCCAGGGTCGCTCTTCCTGGTCCTGTGACTCTAGGGAGGCTAAGGGGCTTGCCCAGGTCACACGGCAGCCGTCGTCCAGGCTGCCAGGCGCTAGGGACCGCACAGAGGGGAGAGCTAGAATTCTCTCTGCTGGCCTGCAGGACTGCGGCGCCGGGGTGGGGTGTCAAGTGAAGACCCAGAGCCCACGCGCTTGGTGGCCTCTGCTTCATCCTGGGGGAGGAGCAATGGGTGCGGTGGGAGAGGGACAGAGGCAGAGAGAGACGGCGCCCCGTATCGGGCGTTCTCCAAATGCAGGATAGAAAACCCTGCTCACACCTCCCTGCAGAGGGGATAGGAGGAGGGAAGGCTGGAGCAGGGTCCTAATCCTGCGGGATGACACCTGCTCTGACGCGCGCAGGTTCTTTAAACGCCCGGATCCTGAGCTAAGCGCGCGAGCGAGGGCGGGGTTGGACCAAGGTCTGGTCACATGACCTGGTCAGAGGGGCTGGAGGCCCCTGCCCCACCGGTGGGTGTCCCCCACAACGCGTGGTCGACCCTCATTGGCCAGTGGTGCGGCCAATAGAAATCGGCCATCTGGGATCCCAGCGTTCCGAGGCACAGCCTAACATGCTGAGCTGAGGAGGGCCCAATGGAAAGTCAGAACCGTGGCTTCTAACCAATGAAAAGGTACGAGGGGCGGGCTAAGAGGTCGGGCCATGTTGGTTTGAAGGGCGGTCGTGTATAAAAACGTACGGCCAGCGGCAGCGTCCGTCCCTGCTGCAGAGCTGCTTTAGGAGAGGTGACTTAAAGGGCCCGCTTCGCGCCGCCGCCCCCTCGGCTCGCCATGCTGCTACCCGTGCCGCTGCTGCTCGGCCTTCTCGGCCTGGTCGCTGCCGAACCCGCCGTCTACTTCAAGGAGCAGTTTTTAGACGGAGGTAACGCCTGGCCCCGCCTCGAGGCCGCTCCGACGACGCGACCGGCCCCCCAGCCCAGATCTGCGTTGTCGCCTGTAATTACTGCTCAGAGGGCCAACACGGTGGCCTCGGGGACTAGAGCCGCAGGCGATACTTCTTTCCCGCGTCCCTGGGGAGCATGGAGGGCGCAGCGGCCTCCCGCGGCGGGAGTTAGGGTTCGTCCGAAGATACCTTAAGCTACAGGAGGTGTCAAACTGAAGGTTGGGGTCGGGCACTCGGGGGATTTCCTCCCTTGCCTGCAGCCGTTTGTGGCTCCTGGTAGATGTGTTTGGGCGGCCGCGGAGGGCGGATGGGGGGCGGGGAGGAATCAGCGCAGCCACACTGACCTGCCCCTTTGATACTGTAGACGGGTGGACCGACCGCTGGACCGAATCCAAACACAAGTCGGATTTTGGCAAATTCGTCCTCAGCGCCGGCAAGTTCTACGGTGACCAGGACAAGGATAAAGGTAAGAGCCTGGAGCTGGGTGCTGAGATTCAGGAGGACTTCCTGGAGGAAACCCTAGTCACTGACGGCCAGGGTATCCTCAGGAGGCGGGCAGGCAGAGGAAGGGGAGGGGCTGTCTGTGTCTTTGATTCTTAGGGTCCCTGGGTTGGGGCCAGCTGTGACCTCACTACTGTCCTCTGCTAGGGCTGCAGACGAGCCAGGATGCCCGCTTTTACGCCTTGTCTGCCAGATTTGAGCCTTTCAGCAACAAGGACCAGACGTTGGTGGTGCAGTTTACTGTGAAGCATGAGCAGAACATCGACTGCGGGGGCGGCTATGTGAAGCTATTTCCAGATAGTCTGGACCAGACTGACATGCACGGAGACTCTGAATACAACATCATGTTTGGTGAGGGGCCCCGCCCTGTTGCTGACCTCTGATTAGAGCGAGACTGAGACCCATCCATGAGTTCCTTGTAGCTCACGAAAAGTGGTCTTCAGAGCCTAGGAATACCTTGTCAGACTTTCCTTTGAAGAGGAGACCGAGGGGATAGTTACAGCAGCAAATTGTTGCATTGTTATTGTTGATCTAAGGCTGTTAATTTGTGAGATCTTATGTAGGTGTTTTCCAATTTTACAAGTGAGAAGACTAAGCTCTAGAGAGTGGGTGTTTTATTTTTATTTTTTTTCAATACTCCATTCATTGTCCCTTAGAAATAGTTAAGATCTGAATATTTTGAGTCTTAATAGACCTGAGTTTAAGAGTCAAGCTTTCCTTTTGTAAATTGGGGTGGGAGGCCTGGCCAATGGTGGGCCACCTCTGACCCTTAACTGGACCTGCTTCTCACCTAGGCCCTGACATCTGTGGCCCTGGGACCAAGAAGGTTCACGTTATCTTCAACTACAAGGGCAAGAATGTGCTCATCAACAAGGACATCCGTTGCAAGGTGTGCCTGGGGGTGGTATCAAATGGCTGCCTGGGTAGGCTCAGAGGCCAGTCCAGTGGGCAGGGCCACTCATCTCCTGCCTTCTTCAGGACGATGAATTCACACACCTGTATACTCTGATTGTACGGCCCGATAACACCTACGAGGTAAAAATTGACAACAGCCAGGTGGAGTCTGGCTCTCTGGAGGATGATTGGGACTTCCTGCCACCCAAGAAGATAAAGGATCCTGATGCTTCAAAGCCTGAAGACTGGGATGAGCGGGCCAAGATTGATGACCCCACAGACTCCAAACCTGAGGTTGGTGCTTGGGCAGGGGCTTCCCACCATGGAGGGGTGGTGGAGAGCTGGGACGGCGCTGACCTCCTCGTGTACTTTTAGGACTGGGACAAGCCCGAGCACATCCCTGACCCCGATGCTAAGAAGCCTGAGGACTGGGATGAAGAGATGGATGGAGAGTGGGAACCACCAGTGATTCAGAACCCAGAATACAAGGTGGTCTTGGGGCTCCAAGCAGAGCGGGTACATAGTGGGGAGCACACTGACTTCCACTCACCTTCCAGTTTCCTTCTCCTTCCGCAGGGCGAGTGGAAGCCCCGGCAGATCGACAACCCGGATTACAAGGGCACTTGGATTCATCCAGAGATCGACAACCCCGAGTATTCTCCTGATAGCAGTATCTATGCTTATGAAAACTTCGCTGTTCTGGGCCTCGACCTCTGGCAGGTGCGATGTGGAGGGGACAGGAGGATCCCTAGGGGACCTCACGTGCTCAGGATCACCCAGGAGGAAAGGGACAAGGGTGGGATTCAATCCTAGGCAGGTATGAGCCTAAAATGGTGCTTTTTCTGAAGAATTTCCTGGTCTATCTCTATCACAGCACCCCCCACCCTATACACACATAGACACACACCTCTTAGAGGTTCTGTATACTTTGTGCTAGGCATTTCTTCAAGAAACTTTATCTAAACCAACTCATTAACTGCCCCAATGACCTAAAAGGTGGTTAGATAGTCCCATTAAAATATTAGCTTCAGAGAGACCACATTTTTTCTTTTTGTTCAATGATGTACCCCTTCTGTGCCTAGAACCTGACACATAGTAGGTACTAGAAAAATAATATGCACAAGGGGGTGAGACCCCATTATATAGATGAAGATACTAAAGTGCAGAGAATTCACCAGTCCAAGGTCATATAGGTGGGAAATGGCAGGGCGGGGTTTTGAACCCAATCAGCTTGTTTTTTAATCACAGTGTTAGGCTGTGGCAATGTGCAGTGGTTATGGAACCTGAGGCCAGGGCCATGGAGTGTCCCCACTCTGACCATCCTTCCATCCATCATCCTTCTCCCCAGGTCAAGTCTGGTACCATCTTTGACAACTTCCTCATCACCAATGATGAAGCATATGCCGAAGAGTTTGGCAACGAGACGTGGGGAGTCACAAAGGTGGGACAAGTGTCCGCTCCTGGGTCAAGGGGTGGGCAGGGCAGGCAGGTGGGGGCCAGGCCTTGAGTGTGTGATCTGCATGCAGGCAGCAGAAAAGCAAATGAAGGACAAGCAGGATGAGGAGCAGAGACTGAAGGAGGAGGAGGAGGACAAGAAGCGCAAGGAGGAGGAGGAGGCAGACAAGGACGACGACGAGGACAAAGATGAAGATGAGGAGGATGAGGATGATAAAGAAGAGGATGAAGAGGAAGATGGTGCTGGCCAAGCCAAGGATGAGCTGTAGGGCCACACCATCGCTTCCAGGGCTGGACTGAGGCCTGAGCGCTCCCGTCACAGAGCTGGCCGCGCCAAATAATGTCTCTATGAGACTGGAGAACTTTCCTTTTTTCCAGGCGGGTTCCAATTTGGGTAGATTTTGGTATGTCCCGCCCCCCCCCCC